TTCTCACCGCCAGCATTCAAAAAGGCCGCCATCTTCTTCTCATACTGGGACTTCGCATCTTCGTACTGCTTTTGGTACTTGGCCTTCTCTGCCTCGCTCAAAAGCTTCCATTTCTCACCTCCCATCTTAGACACCTCCGTGACTGGCCGTCCTTCGCAAGCCTTCTGAAACTCTGCACGATGCGCAGCCATGAAAATGCCATAGGCACCTCCTGCAGGCTTCTTTGGTTGGACCAAATCCGCCATGAGATGGAATGCCACAAATGCGATGAAGAAGGGACGTTGTGGGAGCACCAAGCAGCTGCAGTGTAAAGGAGTTCTGATGACTGCGACCAACTTCATGTCTTTCCTTTATTGGTGTGAATGTCTTTAGAAATGGCTAATCTATATATTATATCGTTGTCTCCGCGATAATGTTGACAAGACTACTCTGCCTGCTCCTCATGGATTGCCTTGGCCTCGGTACTTACCTCGGCAACTTGCGCACAAGAAAAAGGCTTCTCAACTGAGATGCGTGTGTTCCTTCCGATCATCCCCTCTGAGGTCCGAGCACTGTCCTCTTCTATCAGTTGCTCCACCTGAGAAGCGACCAAAATGGGCACTATGGCGAAAAACCTGCTCTCTATGTAAGGCTATAGAAGTATCAAAGAACCGATGAACACTGATCCGAGAGCACAAGATTCCAAATGAACAACATACGGAGAAGGTTCCTCTACGAGGTTGGAGGCCATCGATACTAGATGAATATACAGTCGCCCTTGGAGGTTCCGATGAATATCCCTTTTGACAAAGTAGCACCGCACTGGTAGCTCCTGGCCTACAAGAAGCTGCTAGGAACGAAGGGTATCGCTACTAGGAGCAAGGATGCTACTGGTAGCTCATGGCCTTACTTCTAGGAACAAGAAGCTACTAGGGGCTCCTGGCATCGCTACTAGTAACAAGAACGCTACTAGGGGAGTGCTTCGAAGCGCCACGAAGCGCCGTCTGAGATTCCCAACCCGCTCTGCGACCTGCTCGCACATCCCTTCAAGCTGACTGTCCTGTGATCTCAAGACGCATTCCTTTTCGGTTGCAAAGGCTATTTTCGAAGACAAATGTCACACACCCCGTTTCACATCAACTGGTCGGTGCTCAGCTTGACCAGCTCCCAAAACACTAAGCATTAACCCCAGCATTCACAAGTTCATGATCCAGTCAAAAACACCTTCGCAAGGAGTGTCCTGGCGCTGCAACTTCTCAAGGCGTTGCAGAAGCTGAGCGCCCTCACCCTGGAAGTGGAAGGAAATCTCGTCATGCCAAAACCGTAAACTGTCACTCACAGAAGCCTGTAAAGATTACGTTTTTGGGGAACCTGAACGAACAAAATCCGTGCAAATCTACTACTGGGTCCTGGCTGGGCAATGACACACGGCATAGCAAACACAAGCTTGGCCAACATGAGTTTAGCAGACATACACCAAGCATCTAACCCCCAACACTCTAGCTCCCACCTCCAAGGCTCCAGTGAAGCGCAAGATCCTGTGCCACACAAAACTCAACCAGAGAAGCCACGAAATGCCGAAGTTCATCCGAAGGCATCCGACCGCGCCAAAAGGAAGGCGCCAACATGCCAGAGACACCGATCCCGTGGCACCACGTCCGCCAAGCAGCGGCCTGGCGCCAGTGTGCCGACTCACACCAGGTGGATAAAAGAAAAATGAACGGCAAATGAATCATGGAGGAAAAAAGAAACACATCAAACAAAGCCCCCTGGCCATTTCTTTCTATCTTTTCGTTATTTCCTAAACGTTTCATCACTTCGGATTCTCCAAGCCCCGAAAAACGGGCATAGAATCCCTGACGGACACACATGGCAGCTGGACGAGTCTCGCTTTGTAAAGATTCGTGGAGCTCGACCTGACCAACAAGGCACTCATAAGCTCTCACCCTCGGCCCTCTGCCGTTGGAGTAGATTGGGCAGAACTGGCACAGCCAATCTCTCCAGCTAAATCCATTCGTGTGACCTGACGGCAAGCAATGGAACATTTCAGGCTCGGGCAGACTCCAAGGCCTTCATGGCAGATTCTGCCTCAGGATGATCAGGGCATTCGGGCCAACACGGCACCACTCGAGGATGTGGATTCTTTTCTACAGCTTTCAGCATTGCTTTCTACAGCTTACAGCGTTCAAGACCCGAAGGCCGCCATAGGCGGCCATCCCATTCCCTGTCGCTTCAGAAGGGCCGTAGATTGGTCTTATTTTTAAGGTGATCTGTTGGGTTCACCTGAGTAGGAGACCTTCTCCAAACAATCCGACAGCTTCACTTGAACCTGCGAAGGCTTCCGAAGGCTTCCGAAAGGGATCAAAGAAACAACAAAAATGTGATGCAAATGAAAAGCGACAGTCGTGGGCCACACCCGGTTGCTCTTCTGTACAAGCAAGGAAATGGAGCGACTGCACCTGGGTTCTTTCCATGAGCTAAAGTTAAGGCTCAGAAGCTCAGAACACAAATGTCCCACTGGCATATATACCGGAGATTAATAAATGGAAGGGAAGACAATGGACAATGGACCATGTCAAGACAATATCATGTTCCTTTTGGTTCTTGGACTCTCCCCTAACTGCCCTAACTCTCAGGAAAAAATCACTTGGCGACATGTACTGTTCTTCTGCATCATGAAACAGTTGTTTTCTCAGTATCATGCGCTGCTCGGTGGCTCTTGAGGTTTTCCAGCACCGCCTCAAACCATGACTACAGGGCAGCTGTGCAGCTAGCAAGTCTCTTGACAGTAGCACCGGCTCAAGACACTGCCGCACTGGCACCGGCCATAGGGTGGGACGGGCAAGCGATACAAAGACGTCCTTTTTTCATCAAAGGACGTAAGAGCTGCAAAAGACCCGGGAGCACGCTGCGCTGGGCGAGCCACTCGGGCAGCAGCACGCTGGGCGATGACGCGCTGCTCGCATCGCGAGGCCAAAGCAGAGACCTCGCGCTGTTCACTCACCTTGACTTTGACTATGTTGGACTCCCTTTGAGGATCAAAGATTCTGACATACATTGGCTGTGAATGTCATTGCTTCCACTTGAAACCCAGGTGCTTCAACGTTCAAGTCTGTGCAGCGCGTGATCTTTGAGGCGTCAGCCGGTCTTGACTCAGCGATGCGAGCACGCACCTGCGTAGGGTCGCAAAGCAGGTGTTGGGACCAAGCCAGATACTTTTTGACCAAAACAAAGAGAGCATAACTTAACTGCATTATTTCAAAAATGCTTTGATGAGTGGCACTCGCCATCGACACAGATTCATCCTACTTGGAGACCATGGGCAGCGACTTCCTGCTCATGCTTCATCCTAACACCGCTCGAGGATCGTGGACTAGAGATAGCGTGCCTCTGAAGGAGAAGAAGGGCGGAACGCCAACAAGGTCGGACATTGGCAGGAGCAAAAGAGAGGGCTAGAACAAGCTCGACGACTCGACGACTCTAGATACAATCTTCCACAAAGGCCTCTGCAATGTTGCTGCGAAAAGCTTCGAAGGCAGGATCGATGACCTTGCTGGAAAAACTGTGGGGAAAACTGGTTCTCTGGGTGTTTGAGCCATTCCATCAATCATTAATGAGACAATACCAAGTGACCCTTGGTTGCTTTAAACTTGTGCAACTATGCTCAGCAGGGTTGTGAGCTCAGCACATCTTCACAGCGCTGGCCAAGCACATCATCCTGCTCCTCCAAACAGGAGATAATCATGCATCTCAGGCAAGTCAGCAAAGTCCTCCTAAAGCATATTGGACGAGTTGAGTAGACATGCAGGAGACAAACAATGCTTTGATGTTTTGGTCGTTACAGGTCTATCCGTCATTTCCACCACACAACTTTCCCATAGACATTAAGTGTGGACATCCTGTTAACCTCTAGCAAAATCTATTGGCATCGCCTATCCTGTCTCCTCACACAATCATGCTCGACCCAAAATCTCCAAAACGACACTGTGAGTTCGACAAAAGGCATCCAACCTCTCAATGAAAAAAACTGTTTGCCACCCCCGTTTGCAACCAAGAACCAAAAAAGAAGGAAAAAAAGAAGGAACCATGCACGAAACATAAGATTGTATCCTATATTTTGTTTTTTATCCACTCCACAAAATATCTTGTTTAGCCTGTGGACATAGCCTTGAATGGGTTAGCCACTTTCAGTTATGTTGGTTTTGTCGGGTTGGTCATGTGCGTTTGTAGATGGCCCCAATCGGTTATGCAGGTTCCATGCTGGTTTCCTATCCCACGTCCACCTTGCTCATATAGTTATTAGAGTAATTCCTCAAGCTTACATGTGCCCTCAACAAGGACTCTATCCTTCAAAAAACTGCTAAGCTCAGGAATCAAGAACAAAGTAAGGAGACCAGAGGACCAAGAACGAAATAAGTAGCTCAAAGAATCAAACAAAATTGGTACAACAAACAAAGAAAGAAAGAAACAAACAAACACAGCAAAACCCACGCACTCAGTGCAACAAAACAAAAACCATAAATAGACGAATGCACAAAGAAGTAACCATAGACGAACGCAACACCGATCAGGTCTATCCTTCCTCACCGATCCCGGTCACGCGTCGTCCTCGGCGCCGCCGAAGCTGGCAAGGCTGGGGTCCTTGGCGTCGAGGCGCTCAGGGATCACCTCCGCCTGACACGGCGCGGCCCAGCTCGGCACGCGGTGGAGCAAACAGACGAAGAGCTCCAGGGATCGATGTGGGGACTAGAAGCAACTCAGCTTTAAATGAGCTGGGTTGGCTTTGTCAAAAAAATGCCGGAAAGTGGATGGCCTTTAATTCATTCCCATCTCGTCTTGGAAGTTTCACCACGTGCTTGTTGAAATGGGTCCAAAACGAATTTTCTCCAGAAAGGGCTCATCTGACATGGTATCCTCTCCGGTGCATCGGCATCAGACGTAGACGAAAGATGAACTCGGCAGGTCATCTTTCGTGTATATTCTACTTCACAGTAATAAAGGACCCATCGATTTCCTTGAACAAAGGGAATGTGTTCCAGAGCATCTTCGTCTGAGGCAAAATAGCAAACTTCTCAAGCGGGAGTGTTTCACATCTTTGCAGAAGCAACTATACAGGCGGAACAAAAAGCATCAGGACCAACAGCAGTTGCCCAACAAGCTTCTTGAAGCTGAAGCTGCCCACGCCTGTGTTTCCAGGCATTGCTTGGTGAAGAAGTAGACATCTAAGGCGTCCTGGTTTGTTTGGTTCAGCTCAGAAAGCAGAATGGGTCTCGATCTTGCTGCAGCATAGGTTCCGATCAATACCAGAAGCACTGCTCTAGCCTAGTTATACCGGTTGATTAATAGAGAAGGAGGTACTAGCGCTGGGGTTTAGTCACCCGGGTTTGCAGAAAGTCACCCGGCCGCATGGAAACGCAGCATTAGTCAAAGGTCACCCGGCTCGCGAAAAGTCGCCCGTTTTATGTTAAAACACAATGTAAACGCTCTACGGAAGTATGTTTGTCAAAACTGCTATACATCAAGAATTCACTGCCCCTGTGCAGGAAAGAACTAGTTTTATGTCGAAGTTTGCAGCGTTTTGGTGACGACCGAACCCCAATCAGAACGCAAGGTTAGGACTATCGTGAAGATTACCCCCTAAACATAGATGCAGCATGCTGCCCTGCTTGCTTTGCTCTTCAAGAGCTGTGCCACGCGAGTCTTTTCGACCCTGTCGCGAGTGCCGCGCGAGTCCCATGCACCCATGTACCCACGCCCCATGTACTCACGCCCCATGTACCCAATGGTGTTGAATGGTGTTGAACTGACGCTCCAAAGCTTATGCTCCAACGAGGGTGACATCTTGCATCTAACCCCATTGGAAACGCAGCATCCAAACAATGTTGTTGACCTAATGCTCTTCCAGTTATATTGCCATCTTGCATCTAACCCCAATGGAAACGCAACATCCAGACGACTTTCTACAAGACCAGACGACTTAACACAAGTGCTTGTATGTAATGGTTATGCAAACGCGGGAATGCAACTGTAGGAGTTTGTTGGTCACTCAATTGGCAAGATGCTTTGTGTCTGTGTGTGCGTGTCTGGGGACCAATGCTTCGCAACTCCGGCCTCTTCGCGGGACTCCGCACCTCAAGAAGAAAACCAGGAAAAGGGAGAAACAAACACTCTGTCTTCCAAGCCTTCACTCAAACGCTTTCACAATCTTTGGACAACATTCGCCTGTGCAAGTGGGACGTATCTCGAACCAAACACATTGACCATACTCCACCATTTAGGAAATACAGCCTCTACTTTGACTTCTGAGCTAGAGAGCAATGGCATTTGCACAGGCATGTGTCTGGGGCACTAGCTCAGCACGTTGCCACTGGAGGTCAGGACAATCAAATCCTATGAAGAAAACAAGGCTGAATGAATCAGAAGGCGTTCAATTGCCGGGAGCAGAAATAGCCTATACAAAATCACAAAGTTAGGCATGTGAAAAAAAAATACAAATCACTATAAACTTCTGAAACTTACAATTTTTGAGATCTTGAACTCACAGGGACGCCAAGCCAGGTCACTATAAGATGGGGTGCACAAATTGAAGTAGTGTTTCTGAAGTCAAAAAACCGCCGGAGATACTTGTCCTTAAATCTATAGGACATATAGTGTATATCCTGTGTTGCTGCTGCTATTCCACAATTGGTTCTCATCATCATGAAGCATGTGGCCGCGTAGACCGGACGGGGGACCGCGCTCAGAACGGGCAGTACACTCCGATAACCACACTGATCGCATTGTTTACTCCGATGAGGGTGAGCTGTAGGAAAAAAAACCTCCAACATCTTTCAACTAAACCTTGGGACAACATATCCTATATATATATATTTCATTGAATACAAAAATTGTTTGAAAGAAAGCTTCTAGAATGTAAGATCCTATCATCGTTGATTTCTTAGACCACAAACCTTCATAGAATTGATGATTGTTTTACACATCTCTGATCACTATACTTAAATATATATATATATACATACATACATGCATATATATATATGTCGTGCATGTTGATCTGTCCTGTATAATCGTAATAAACTGAGCGTGTCCACTGTTGTTTGTATAAGATCAGAGTTGAAAACAAAACACATATTTCACTTTATGTTTTCACAATGTTCACTGGCCATCTGTTTTATAGTTTTTTCCTCTAAAAATTATGCAATATCGAGATGTTACTAAACATAATCCCAGTTTTGACCTGTCCTGTCAGTTGTCCTCTCCCAAAATGTCCAGTCATCTCAAGGAACCCTGGGGAAGCTCATTATAAACTGGATCATATAATGTATATATAAAGAGAACAGGAAAGTTGTGACACTGCCAAGGCCTCCAGCTGCAAATTCCAGCGCTCGCGAGCGTGTTGCCTGGCTTTGCACGCAAAAAAGTGGAAAACTTAATAATGTCAGAGGTTGCAATCCCGCAACGCGACTGGCAAACAAGAGACGCATCCCGAAACAAGATCAAAGAATGCCCTTTCATGTTGTCCCACAACCATGAAACAAAGAAGGTTTCTATATATATGTTTGTCTTCCCTTCTTGCTCTGCTTTTATACATGCTCGTGACCTGATGGAACTCAAAAGCCTCATCTCGAACTAAAAAAGGAGAGGCGCTCCATCCATCCCCCAAGCGCCGAGAGGCCTTTAGGCCAGTACAAGGGGGGGGAAGTGCAAGGGGGGGCCATGCTATGACCCGACGAAGGTGGAAAAACATCGAGAGAATGTTTGTCTTCCCTTCTTGCTCTGCTTCAGCTGCTTTGTTTTGACTCCGCCCATACATGCTCGTGACCTGATGGAACTCGAAAGCCTCATCTCGAACTTAAAAAGGAGAGGCGCTCCATCCACTCTTTGCAAAGGCGGGCCAGGTGGAAAAGACAACGACGAGCATGGCGGATTGCACCGCAAGCCGTCGACAGTCCTGAAAGGACCTGGAACTCAAAATGCCAGCAACTCAAACAGAGGACCCATCGAAAAAAGGCGAGCTCGTACACGGTCGTCCAAGGCTGCAAACACTGAGCTGGCAGCTGTTTCCTGCAAATAACTCTCGAGAGTAGATTGCGATCTAAGCCGCAATCTCCAGAGGATGTCCTGAATGGGCGTTCTCTTTCGGTACAACATTACGGCTGCGCCACCGCGCAACCCGCCCGGGGTCAGGCGAAGCTCTGCAGGCACGCCACGCAAACTCCAAACTGCATTCCACCTTCGCCTATAAGTGAAGGTGAACCTTGGTACAGCCGTAGATGTCTTGGAAAACCTTCAAAGATCCTGCTGAGCAAAGAAACAGCTGCTGCATCCCGGATTTCCATGCGCTGAGTTCTAGCAGGTTGTCTGCCAAGCGACTTGAACTGCCGCAGCCTCAGAAACAAACCTTCATGGTCCTTGTCCAGGATGTCCGAGGGGAACAACAAATCTTCTCTGCAACACTTGAGGACCTCTCCAACCCTACCTGCTCCGTAAAAAGCTATCAGAGTGATGCCAGCCCATCCGTACCATTTAAGCTGCCAAGCGACAACAACCATGGCCCGAACCAAACCTTCTGGAACAGGCACTCGGTGGGACACCGGTTCAACGCTCTCCCACTTGGCAACGAGGTCCCAACAAGGGGATGTCATCAATCTGACCGTCGGCGCCCAACGTTAGCAGCAAAGGACAAGATGCCTGTACTTGCTGAGTGATGCTCCATCCAAATACTCTTTCTTGCCATATGCTAGGAGGGCAGAAACCAAACACTCGGGCACACTTGTCATGAGCTGCTCAACATCAACACTTTGAACAAAGCCGCGCACCCAATCAAGAAATTGAACAAGCGCTTCACTTTCCAGCCGTAGCGTCGCCGCAGACGAAAGCTGAACAGAATCAAACCCGTCAACTCTCGGTTGGCCTCTCTTCTTAGGGCCAGGGCGGACAGCTTCTCCCGGTCGGAGTGACAAAGAACGGGAGCATCCTGCAATGTCAAGCTTTTTACGCTTCAACCAACCAACATCTCCACAAACGGCTTTCGCTATCAAGTCACAAAGCTGGCGTGGATAGGGCTCAGCAACCTGAGTCCATGACTACCGTACGGAGATCGACCACGCAGCTGTACATGCTTGCTGTTCCGGCAGGCACACATCATGCGCTGTCCCCGCAAGGTCGGGGAACTAGTTGCAAAACGTGTAGGCTTCTTATTCCATGGAGCGCCATATCGGCAGAAGCAACAACGAAAAACACGATCAAAGTCGGCAGGTCGAAACTGGTGGAACTTCTTTTGGCGCCACAACCAAGAGGTGTCTGGGTTTTCAAACCAAAAGATGATGGCAGGGTCTGTTTGCTCGGTGGTGGTGATGAGCTCTGCCAAAAAATCGGCATGCGCATTCCCCTCCCATACTTTCACCTTCATGTTCTGGGACAGATTGGGGAGCCCTCTAGGAAACTTGGCACTCCGCACCGGCGGAGTTACAGCAATTGAAAAAGATGCGCAAATAGGAGCTGCGCCCCAACATCGCACCGCTCGCAGCCTGATCAGAGAATTCTCGCTTGCCGATCGCTTCCACTCAAAGCAGAGGCACCAAGGCGCCCCGTTTCTGATCATCGCTCGGGCTATGCCAAAAGATCCAGAAAACAAATCAATGCATCCAGGTTCCGAGAAGGAAGTGAAATTTTTTGGAAAAAGGAACTGCGCTTTCGGGAAAGAGTTCAAAATCTCCAAAGCTTCTGAGGGCAAAGCTGACGGCTCACTGCACGCCACTGCAATTGGCGCTCTCTCCAAAGTGTCTTTCCGCAGTCGGCTAAAAATCCCACGAGAAGGGCGAGCGGTCGGCATGACGGCTGCAAACAGTTCTTTACAGTCGAAGTCCGGGCGATCGATATCCCCTTCTGCAACTCTAAGCCAAGCGTCAAGACCCTCGAGGTCGCCATCAGCAGCGGCATTCCACCACTCCGGCGTCGGCACATCGGGTTCAGCAGGCAGCGAATCACGCGTCGGACCATCGGCTCTCTTGACCTTGCTAGGGTAGTACATGTATGAACTGTAGAGGTCGCTACTGATCACATTGGGGAGGGCCTTGACCATTTCCCTGTTCAGAGCTCTAGAAGCAGCACGTCCTTTAACAAGTGCACCAAGGCTCACTTGAGAGTCCAGACCGTAGAGGAAACGGCTGTGGCTGAAACACTGTGCAAGCCTGCGCTCTTCCAAAAGGTGTGCTCTCAGCTCCAGAATATTAATATGTGTATCTCTAGCGACGGGCTTCCTCCAACGTTCTTCATAGGTTAGGCATCTAGCTAACAAAACCCAGATAGGCCGAGCATCATAGGCATCACCCGGCAGCTCCTCGCTTTCGCCCAACAACCCGTGCGACCGCAACCAGGCCTGGTGAGCTGGCAGTAGCTTGGACCACCGGCCCTTTCGCAATCCTCGTCTTGCCACCTCAGCCACGATCGCACGAGGGACAGAAGCCCTGACTGCAGCAAGCCACCCGCTGGATGCATCGGTGCTCGTACTGAAGGGCTGATACTGTGCTCTAAGGTTGGTGGTCGCAAGCGGCCCCAAACAAACAAGAGTCCACAGTTCTGCAAGCAGTTCAGGAGATCGCCTCAAAACAATGTTCTGCTGCTCAATACCTGTAGCCTCAAAAATCAGGTTCACGACGCACAAAAGCCTTCTTCGGGCGGCAAGTATTGAAATCCAGGAACCTGCTGTAGCCTCCAACAAGGCCACTGTGCACAACCCAAGCACGGCGACCCTTGCCGTGATCACGATCAGTGGCCACAGACGCAGCGAAGATCCACGCACCAGTCCCTTTTGACCATCGAGCTCAACGCCCCAAAAGCGGGCAAGGGTCTGGTTCCGGGACTCTTTCTTGAGGTTGACTTCAAGGTGGTGCTCGCGGTACGCAGCTACGGCCTTGTCCAGCCGCAAGTCTGCCTGCGTGGGCTGACCGTCTTTGCTCTGGTTCCATGAAGCAGCAAGGATCTTTTCCAACAACACTAGGTCGTCGATGATGACCCCGACGGACAACAAGCCGCGCGGCACATCGCCTTGCAGCGATATCATCTCAGCTTCCTCCAGCACGCCAGCCCTCAACATCATTGCCAAATGTGAGCGCTGAGCGAACTCACAAGCATTCTGATCGCCCATAGCCAGCGTGGCCAGTCCACAGTAAATAGGAGGCTGCCAGGTGGAGGGAATGGCATCCCTCCCAAACACTTCGTAGGCTTCTTCAATACACAAAAAATCTGCTAAAGCATTGCGAACTGTCCGCTCAGGGCCCACCTTGAACTGATAAAAGAAATCCCGAAGATCTTCGCCAGAAGCAGCCAACACCTGAGTATCATCAAGCAAAAGGTCACATAGAATTGAAGCAGAGGCCATTGTCTTGCACCACTTGTTCAGAGCAGTACCAACAAGGTTGGCAGGTCTTGCGTCAAGAATCAGCCGGTCCCTTGTGAGCGATTTGGGAACGGCGAAAAGCCCAGACACATGCTTCTGCCTAACATCATCTTTGTTGAGAGGCTGCAATCTTCCTGTGGCGCGGAGCTTCTGCAACAACTTGATCCTGTTGACTCTGCTTGCACGTATATGCACAGCAGGGGCCGCGCGTTCGAGGCCAGCATGCTGCTTCCAGTCTGAATAGGACGGAGGTAAACATCTGCTGTTGCTTCGTCCAAAAGCGGCACAGGATCAAAAGAAGGCGGGGAAGGAAACTCCAGCCTATCTGCTTCAATGTCTTTGGCAGGACTGACAACTGTCTTCTGAACTGAACCAACCACCAAGGATCTTGCTAGATGCATAGTCGGATTCCGGTTTTGTAACGGAGCCCCTAATATCGTGAGTGCGAAAAATCAGAAGAAACAATAGCCCGGCGCAGAGCTCCAATGGCATCCTCATAAGATTCAACCTTCGAAGCTCCACGGCCCATGATCTCTGAATCAATGAATTCTGGTGTGTTCCCATCCCAACTCAAAAACTGCAGTGTAGATACTGCTGACCACTGTTTTGCTGTCAACTTTGTACCAAGGCAAATGCTGGGTGGTGCATACGTGGGCGAAGGCCTCAGGAAAGGGTATAGGCATGGGCCACACATTCTGCGGCTGATGGGATGTGAACGCCCTGTCCGGGCGTCTTGGGCATTGGAGCATTGAAAGCAAAAAGAGCTGAGCTTGCTTTTTGTTTTGAGCAGCCATCTCGGCAATGAATTCACAACGGAGCTGATCCTCAAGGACGACGCTCGCGCGCCAGGAACTGTCGCCTGAACATCTCGTTCAGGGGACGCAGGCTGCGGGCGTGAGTGCTCCTCATGCGTAGTCACTGATCCGGGGTTGCAGTGTTCTCCCCGCGACGGAAAGGCTGGCTCTTGGCTTTGGGCCGCCTCTTCGGTGACGGAGAGTCCTCGCCGCTTCCTCCTTCTTCCTTCTTGCTGCCTTTCTGCTGCAGTTTCTTCCTCTTCTCCAGGTACTCGTCGGTCTCCTTCAGTTGAGCTAGTGCAACTTCGCTCCACCGAGGATCGAGCAGCTTGGAGAAAGGTTGTTCTCCCATGCTGACATCTGGAGGATGATGCGTTGCCAGGTTGGCGAAGGGCGGCAGAGTCTCCAAGCTCAACAGAGATGCCAGTTGCCACGACCCTCGATCGGCTGCGACCTGATCCAGTTGCAGAAGCATCAAATTGGCTCGAGCTCTTGCCTCGTCGACCCGGCCGCCAACCAAGCAATCGATGATTCTGATGCCACTGACCCCCCACGCTGCATGCGCCAGAGTCTTGTACTGCCCGATGTAGGACCTGTGTTCGACCCAGGCACGAGCGGAGAGCGCCGCCCTTGGCATGTTTGGAGTCATCACACGCCCCTGCAGATCCTCCTCCATCAACTTCTGGATCAGCATGTAGAGCTCTTGTGGGGAGTGAGTCAAAGCCTTCGTCAGCGCCCTTCTCGCAATGCTCGATCGCTTGCCTCCTCCGGAAGAAACTGGGTCGCCAAGACCATGAGCCCCATCTAACAGTGAATCGAGCCCCGGCTTCTTCTTCCTCTCCTTCTCCGCAGCCAAGCTTCCCACTATTGATGTGAGCTTGCCAACAGCCACGACCATGGGGTCGGAAGAAGGGCCTGCAGATCCAGATCCGGGGACCTCCAGGCTTGAGCGTCACTTGACGCGGCTCCTTGAGCTTCTTCTTGGTAGGCGCAGCTGACGCCATGAGGGCTTGCATTTCTCTCAAGACTTTCTCGTCGATGCCAGCATTCCGTGCAGACTTCACCATTGCAGCACTGGAGGATCTTTCACACGGGCAGCAGGTTGGCGGGGCAGAGAATCCCCGCCTCGCTTGAGCAGAGTCTGAATCCCCTCCGCCGTAGAGTCCATGGTTGTCTCGAGCTTGAGCACTCGAGAGGAAAGGTCGCGAACACCATACTTCTTGAGCCTCCGCGCCGGCTTGAGCAGCCAGTCCAGCTTCCCCCACAGGAAAAACCTCCTCCGGGACTGTGAAGAAAGCAAAGTGGTCCTGGCCGACATCGACTAAAGCCTGAGCAGCCGGCCAAGCTTGATTGAAGCCATCCAGAGTAAAGATCTGTACTTCTTCGCTCAACTCCGCCTCCTCCTCCACAGTCAAAAAGGCAACTTCTGTAACTAGGTCTTCTCGAAGGAACCCCATCCACAGCTTCAAATTCTCTGCGCGCAGCAAGACCATTCGGTCTTCGGACTCGGCCGTTGCCACCTCTGCACTGATGACTTTGGTCAGGGCCTGGAGGCAACAGTCGCTGGTTGCGCCTGCGGTACCATGAGCTGAAGGGAACAGCGGCCAGAACTTGGCCTTCCAGCTTGGCGACAAAGATGATCTGGGTGGCTGAACCAGCCGCAAAGGTCAAAGTGCCAAGAGGGAAGTTGTGATCAACCCTCGAATCTTGCCAAACAAAGGGAAGGGGCAGAGCTTCGCTGCCTTCTTCAGCTTCGTCGAATTCACCTTCTTCAGCGGCTGCTGACGCGCTCATCCCTCAACGACTCCGCTCCAAGTGAACCCTCCTGCCTGCAAGGCACACTTGATGCCCTCGATGGCGGGCAGCCCAACAAAAACGGAGTCTCCTAGTTCCGATCCTCTCTTGACCAGCTCTTTGGCGGGAGCCCACTTGCCAAATACACGAACTGGATCAAAAACACGACGATCGAATCCCCTCACCACGATCCAGTAGCGAGAAGCCTGCGAAATCTTGTCCCTGCCGGACTCTCCTCGGGGCTGACCGTCCAAGGCCCGCCTGAGAAAGCGCCCGACTGCCTGCGCTGCAGCCTCGCGGCTGGTCGACTCCAGAAGGGGAGCTGAACTGGGCCTCGGGGCTGATGGATCACCTGCGGAACGAATGCGATCGGCTTCAAGGTCAGCCTCAGATAACTTCACCTCAGAAACCAAACTGAATGTCCCGATGTCGGATCTGTCCTGCAAGTCGGTCACGATCAGCCTACGGGTGGCTGCAAGCAAATTCCTCAAGCTCTCAACCTCACTCTTTAGGAGCTGCACCTGGTCTTCTAAGGGAAAAGCCTCTGGACCAGACCTGGAGTTGGTGTGCATCAAAGTAGGCGATAGAGCTGTCTTGGACGTGCACCCGGTCCCGAACGAACCAGCAGGAACCTGACCAAATAGGCTCTCAAAGCCAGCAGCACTTCCACGATGGGGAACAAACAAAATCCAACCAAGATCCCTGCCAGGAAAGACCAAGGGTCCAGAAACCAAAGCTCAGCGCAGTATGGCGAAAAAGGACTAAGTTCGCGCTCCAAAAAAGAGAGCGCCAAAGCGGCGCCGGCTCCGACAGCTCGAGCCGAGTCCATGCTATGACCCGACGAAGGTGGAAAAACATCGAGAGAATATAAGTGGCAGTTCCTGCGGCAGGAGGGCCTTTACTTATTCAAGTCATGCGTGTAAGACTGTTGCTCGGTGGCCCATCCCGAAGCGTTGAGTAGCCGATGGCCTCACCAAATCCAGCGGCTTTCGATACTCGGAGTCGACTTCGAGCACTTCCCCTGCCAACCTGGGCGACGAAGCACAGAGTTGGCAGGGGTGAAGCCAAGTAGCCGAAGTAGCTAGAAGCTACTAGGGGCTCCTGGCCTTACTACTGGGAGCAAGAACGCTACTAGGGGCTCCTGGCATCGCTACTAGGAGCATTCTTACCACTAGTAGCTAGAAGCTACTAGTAACAAGGGCATCGACTAGTAACAAAGGGCATTACTACTAGTAACATGGACGAGCCATTGGCAAACATCTCTCACAAACGGGACCTCATGCCGAAATGTCGATCCTGTTCTCCACCTGACTTCATCCCGTGTGTGCTCATCATCTTTCACCGTGGAGACGGAGTTGGCAAGCCATATGCTCTGGTGCTCATCGATGTCCTGACATCCGTGTACGATGTGAAGCGTCTAGCCTCACGGCCGATCTCCGCTCACCCGGTCTCGGTGCGCTTCCGCTGTAAGCAGAAGAATGGCACGAGGCAAACAGCTGCAGCCTTCCAGGTCTCTGGGGCACAGCGTGTCAGCCCTAGCTTGGACTGAACTAGTTCCAAGTCACCACCGGAGGGAAAGCACTTCCAAGTCCTCATGAAGGCCTGAAAAAACATCGTAGTAACAAACATGGTTGTCGCACCTGTCTATTATATAATATATAATATGCATATACTGTATATGGATCGTTCCTAACCGGGGAATGCTCTCTCCTGGATGCATGGACAAATTGGAGCTACGCAAGATCATCTTGCAATACAGCAAGGTGTTCCCGGTCCCATTTCGATACATACGCGCCACTGAATATTCAGTTGGCTAATAATTTTAATCACCCGCCATCACAAACTTACCTCTGCCTTCGTGCTCCAGGGCTCCCTACCCATGACAAATCCGCATCTCGTGAGCGAACCTGGCCACAATAGCACCTTTGGTTTCTTTGATGTTTGGGGAGAAACCAAGAGATGCACCAAAAGAACTCCAAACAGAAGGAATGAATCAACATCCATCAATCCATTCCGGGCAGGTCGCAAGTACTCGGTCCCTATCGGTCGCGAGCTCGGTTTTTGCGTCTGTTCGGCCTGGGGATTTCGCTGGCAGCCTTCCATGAAGCACCGGAGCCCAAGCTCGAGCTAAGTAGGCTGGGGACAAAAGGCTTTTGACCATCCCTCAAAATTGACACCTAGAACTAGCAGCAAAACAGAGCAATCTGGAGTTCACCAGAACGTGCCGTGCACGGCACTCCCTCGTGAAATCCTAGATTCCTAGATGATGGCCAACTGTGTTGCTTTCTGCATGAGGCGGCTGGATAATTCTTTCGCCTCGGCGTGGATATCATCGAATGATTGCTTTTAGGGGGAGGATTGAATCCAGTCGCAACTTTGTACAAGCTGAAGCCGCGGCAAAGAGGCGAGAAGAAAAGCATGGACAGGTCTGACAAGGGCCTAAGGAGCCTCTTTGAGGCCTCAAGATCATCCAAAGTACTTTGTGCAAAGAAGAAGGAATCTGGATCATTCAAGCCTTCAAGATTCCAGATCACACAATTGTTAAAAGTTTAAAGCATATGACAAAGAGCACATCTTGGATGTCCATCCATGAAAATGGACAATGCCCCGAACCCCTCTCGGTTCTTCGGTCTGCCCTCTAGACGGCACCTTTTGCAGCTGGGCACCGCAGATCGGTTGGCACGAAATGGGGAAAGGGTAAAAATCCCGTGAAACAAATATGGAGTAGACATCTCCAAGCCTGGAGAGAAAAGCATCTGCAGGTGATGAGGAATTGAGGACCGAGGAGCTTGGGCAGTTTTGGCGCAACGTGAGGCAACCAAAATTTCATGTGGCCAATCTTTCAGTTCAAAAACTGACGACATGTCCATCGCATGCGACTTGTCCTGCCTATCGCTGGAAGAGATGTCCTAGGGCCGGCCCGGGTCAAGCATCGGAATGTGTGTCTTGATTCTGCGAAGTCGAATGTGAAAACGCGAAAACGGAAAAATGGTCGATGTCGAGAACGGGGTAAATGTCCCAATTTTTTAAAAGTGTGATCTATCTATTAGGTCCCGTTGTTGCGATTCAGGTCTATTGGGTAAATCAATCTTTAGTGGCCAAACTATCCACATTACCTGGAGATGAGTACCCAACAAATGGTGCTTGGTCGGTTCCAAAGTTCTGCCGATGGCATGCCCGGTTTCTGCAGCGGGACTCAAGACATCTCCACGTTCGCGTCGGTGTCGGCCATGAGCACGATGTTGAGGATGGTGGTAGAATACTAGATGGAGATCTATGAAGAAGTCTTGCAGCCATCTCTCAGACTCTTGCAGGCTTTAGAGCGTTCTCAGGTTGCTGTTAAGACTCTCCCACGATCCAATCGTCAATGGACATATGGAAGTTCAAAAACATGGCAACAAGTTGGTCAACACGTGCAATCTGTTTGAAACTAGGGAAGGTTGGGTGTCGTGTGGTGCTGCACGGATCCTTTTCTCCGCGCAACCTTGAGCCAAACGATGTTTATCGAATGGCGAGTTTCACCTGAGTGGTTTCAAGTACACTTCTCGTTTTGTGCACCTGACTGCAAACAAAGTTTGGAGGTTGGTGGTCCATTTCCACTGCCACACTCCCCCTGACCATCGTATGGTCAAACTTCAGGGAAAAAGAAAGTGATCCTTCGACCACATTTCGAGTGGTTTTTCAACCACAAATTCATAGCTGCCGTCTGAATCCGAATCAGGATGCCTCAAATGGTCACTTTGACCCGGCACACCACGCTGCCTCACTGGGAGTTGGCTCACAATGCCCATCCATTGTGGCACCTCATCCAAGTGTTCGTGTAGAGGAGGAAGTCCAGGAGGTAGTGTCGTTTCGTGCCCCTGAACTGAGCTGGTTGAGCTCACATCTAAATTCCTCCTCCAATCTTCCCTTTCACTTTCACTTTCTGTGGCGCTCGACGCCGGCCCAGATCGCAGGTTCTCCCCGCGAGAGAGGTAGCCGCCAAGTCGCCCCATGTAGCCAAGGGTCACGCCAGCATCAATGGCGTCTGAGCCCCGAGCCGCTGCCGTAGATCCAGTCGCACTGGACCTTGTGCTGGGAGAGGTCTGTGAAGGTGCAGAGGACGATGACGATGAAGTCCTCCTCACCGAATGCACTTCAGTTCTCACCCAGGTCACATTGGCCGTCGGAAATTCCACCTGTTCAGACGATGGAGTACCAGTGGAGTTCTCTGCCACCGAATCCAAAGTCGCCCGTCGTTGGGGTGGTTCCAGCGTGTCATCAACTGGAGGTGGACCTGAGCTGCTCGTCGGTGGATCGGTGGAAGTCGTTGTTTGTCCCAAGCTGTTGTCTGGGGACGGAATCTCCCGGAAAAAGGTGTATCCCACCCATTGATCCTGGTCAGGCAAGACAGGGCCAATACCACTCCTCCAGTCGTCGTAGAAGATGGTTTTCTCTCCATGGTGCCAAACAACAGTCACCCTTTGGTGTCGGATGGATGCACTGTTGAAGGGCGTCATCCTGTGTAGTGGGTGGAAAGGTCGTTTTCGAGGCTTCACATGATGCCTCACCCACCATCCATAGCGCAATCGCCCCCAGCGGTCGCGGCCTTGCGGAGGGAGCTGGAATGGGAACCACTCCCAAACCCGCTCTTCCGGCTGCTCCGGCCCAGCGCGAGCCCCAAGCGCAGCCAGCCGCACGCCATGATCGCACGCACGAGACGCAGCCAAGGTATAGCCATTTAGGCTAGGTCCCAACCCCCCCAACCCCTCCCGTGCGGTGGGTTCATTTTCCCTCACCGATCTTGACTTTCTTGTTTCGATCGATTCGCTTCCCATGGGTGCCCCCGCCCGCGAATCGACCGTCAGGTGCCCATTGGTCTTTGTGGGGTCTTTTGTATCTTTTTTCCACCAAATTGCAAGCGCAGCTACCAAAGCTGAGATGGTGACACATCTCGCCACCTTGTGACTTTCCTGCGAAGGGTTCCATGCCGCCATGCCAATGATGCCGCCCAGAATAGCCATCAACCTTGACTTGGACAGCGATGCACCTGGAGCTCGGTCAACATCCTTGGACAACACACGAGCTCCAATGAAGGTGTAAAAGTTCTGCCACAGCGTCGGGTTGACGATTGGTTTGGTGAGCAGGTCTGAGGCAAGTTCGGCGCCTGGAACATGTTGGGTTTTCCAGCAGCTCTGCTGAATGCGTTCCTTCACAACGAACGCCCTCAAGCGAAGGTGTCTTGTTCTCCAGGGTCCATCCGGGGCGACCAAAATCTTCAAGCCGGTTTGAGAGTCACCGCAAAGGACCTGTTGGCCTTGGAGATGAAGACGATTGTCCTCCAGCACATTGACCACTGAGGCGACTGACTCTCCGATGACGACTCCATCAACGTAGCCCATCAGCTCGGCCTCAGCGCTTGAAAGAGTTGCAAATGGTTGTTGTTTGCTCTCCCACTGCACTGGAGAGCCATTGTAGGTCACCAAAAGACCTTGCTGTCCTCGTCCTCCTTGGGGTCCATGAGAAGCATCTGAATACACTTTCAGGCAGGGCTTTTTGGCAGCATCACAATCGTCGAGGGACGACTCAACCACCTGCTTGGTGTAGCGAAGCTCGTAGTCCACTGTACGCTGCAAGTAGCCCAACATGTGAGCACCCCACTCCAGAACCTTAGTCGGCGCTTTCGTCACCAAACGTCCCATGATGGAGACACCGTAGCAAAGATCTGGTCTTGTGCGGCCACTCAACCAAAGAAGTTCTCCGACCAAAGCTTGAGCTCGTCGGACTTGGGAGATTTGCACATCAGCTTCAACTTCATCTTGAACTCCCAAAGGAAGAGGCGTTTGACGTGGTTTGATGCCTTCATGGCGAGACAAAAGATCTCGAGTGTATGAGGCCTGGTTGAGGATCACCGCATCGTCGCTGCAGCTGATCTCAAAGCCACAAAACTTGATGGCCTTTTCTGCCGTCGCCCACTCTGGTTCCGAACACCGCCAATGAGCCCTGATCCCATCGATCACCGACTTTGCCAAGGGACCTGGTGCAGCAACAAGCATGTCATCAACGTACACAGCGAGGAAGCCTTCAGAGTTGTCCTCCTGCGGAAGAGCACCAGGGTCGGTTTTGATCAACTTCCAAAGGTTTGGCTCCGGTGTGGACACCAGCTGGTAGTCATGACCTCCTGCCGAGAAGCGCAGTTGAGGTAGTTCACGGTCACGGTACTGCGACCAATTTGCTGGAGCATCGTTCAGCCCGTAGACGGCATGCGAGATCTCCCAAAGTTCCGCAGCGTCGCAAATTCCAGCTTCAATTAACACCTTTGGTGGACGAGCGACTAGCAGACGTTCCTGTTCGTCAGGTCGTGGCGCAAGAAGGAAGGCTGTTTTGATGTCCACCGTGCCGACTGACCACGAGTTTTCAGCCGCACATTTCATCAAGCAGCGCAACGTAGTTCCATCTGCTCCACCTGCATAGAGCGAGAACGGGTTTGAGTCCTTGGGCTGAGTCTCACCTGCAGAGTTGTTGCTCTCTTCATTGACCTTGGTGAGATGGTTTCCACAAATGACCACCCGAGCTCGAAGACGTCCATGAGGACTTTTGACTGTAGGAACAAGCATCGCTGGAGCCAGCTCCATGGTGGGAAACCTTGGATCCAGGCGCAACTTTTCCTCTGTAGTAGGCTTGATTGCCTGAGTTGAGGACACCAGCTGCCTATATTCATCACGCAGAGGAGGTTTCCATTTTTCCAATTCCCTGCGAACTTGCTGTAGTGAGACCGTATAGGTCTGAAGCACTGTTGCTGGAGCATCTGGGGTTCCCATTGATGGAGCCAATGCCGACAGCTTGAAGTTCTCGATTGCAGAGTGCTGAAACGACAGTTGATCTTCAGCACCCTTGAGGAGTAGTTCAACTTCATGAAGCCAGCTGCCATGGACACTGCCGGAGTTCTCACCAACTGCAACTTCACGAAGGCCTTGACACCAAAGCTGTTTGAGCGCCCAGTGTCGCCGTTGTTCTAGCTCATGCCACTTTTCCACCTGCTGCCAATCACACAGCAGTGGATCTTCGACCTCCCCCTGAAGGTCATGGTGCAAAAGTTCATCACCAGGTTCAACCTTATCATGTAGTTCGTGGCCACCATTCACCTCCTCCAACTCCCCCTGTGGCTCAAGCCTGACAGAAAGCGACTTGCCAACATCCAACGATGAAGACCAGTCCAAAGAATCCAGAGAGTCCTCCCCCCCCAGCTCTACAAGTTGATAGAGCTGGAACTGACTTCTCATAGAGCGCTCCCACGCGGCCAGCCAGTGGATGGTCAGGTAGTGGAGGTGGGTGTTTTCCAGTGATGCGATGCTTCACGGCAGGCACCTCTTGGAGTTCCATGATCGCCTGATCGGCTACCGGCGATGGTTCAAGTGCAGTGCGCACGTGCAACAATTGGCCCTTCTTGTCCCGGACAATCCAGCCATGCGACATGTATGGGCAGGGACCAAGGAGTTGCATAGTTCGGTATGGCATAGAGAGCTGACCTGCACGATGCCATCGTTTGGATTTGACCAAAACTGATGCTCCGAATCGAAGCATAGGAGGACTTTCCAGCCCGAGTCGTTCAAGTTGTAGTCGAACACGCTGTTCGGCAGCATGGCGAAGGGCAACTGGCCAGAAGGAGTGAGGTAGTCCAGCATCATGAAGGAACAACCTGGTGCGGCGCTTGAGTTGGTTCACTTCTCCTTCAACACGGCCATTGGCCTTGGAATCATCGCCAGCCGTCATAGTCAAGCGAATCTGTCGCTGTTCACACCACTTCTGAATTGGTGCTGAAGCAAATGATCGTTCACGATCTGTGTGCAATCTGTAGACCTGGATGCCCAGCATGCGGTACTTGGCGTGCAAGCGGGACAAAGCACGGACCAGTGACTCCACCGTGCGATCAGGGATCACTTCAGCCAGGGTGACATTTTGATGTCCTTGAGGTTCTTGAGACTTCTCAATCTCAGCCATTTCGTTGAGCCTCCGGACTTCATCTTCAGGGACTAGGTCACGGTCTTCTGGCTCGCAGGGAATCTCCTCCGTGCGCTCCACATCCTTGGCGGTGTCGCATGGCTCAGTAACCTCACCTGGAAGCTCAGAGATGATGGGGACGGCCACAGTTGAGACCAGTGCGTACTTGCAAATGACTCCTGTGCCCAAATCTTTCCCTTCAGGAAACGGTCCACAAAGGTCGGCTGACATAGTGAACTTCGTGGCGCTCCCCCCAAGCCTCTTGTGTGGTTTGTCGCAGCCCATAGCTTCCCCACAAATGCGGCAGTCAGCACGAAAGGGGATGTGACCCTGTTTGATATGTCGATGCCAAGCTGCAAGGTCCATTTTGGAGACATGGCGACCACCTCCAGCCCCCTTTTCCTCCTCCAAAACGCCAAGCAACCTCCTCAAAGCTTCTTGAATCGCTCCCACAAGGCCTGGTGCCCATGCTGCCCAGGTCTTCGAAGTGCGAATGCGGTCACCGAGGTTCGACGGGAGTGGTCTGTCATCACAACCATCGCCTTGGAGGCCATGTAGTTCTTGGAAGGCAGGAAGGTTAGTCAAAACTGTCGTAGGTTTTTTCCTCTGGTGACCCAGCTTTCCTTGATCGAAAGTGACCAAGCGAAGGCCAGCAGTTCCAACCCAAGCCATCAGCTCCGGGAAGCACCAGAAAGAAGCGCTTTGCCCACCTTCTTCACCGGCAAGATATTCAGCAGGATCTCGCGGTGATTCCAACAGCATGCCAACATTCGTCGATGTTCTGCGGCATTCTTGAGCTCGGATCCATAGACCCATGTGCTTCATGCACAAAGCTGTATCGCCATGAACCAGGCGAAGTTCCTCCTCCGAGAGGTCATTGAGGCACCAGCGATCTTCTCCTCGACCACGAAGGCGACGAGGTCCTGGTGGTGACCGGTTTCGAAGGCGACTCACGGTCCTGCAGGGAGGACCTCCAACAATTGCAACGATGCGTCCCAAAGACGCCAGCTTCCACAAATAGCCCCAAACGGCCGGGTTGTGCAGGTTCAATGAGGAGTTGATCTCCGTGTCAATGCACAGCCAAGAGTATGCTCCTCCGCCAACACAATTCCACTTCTTCACATCAGGACCACTGAATAGGTGCACAATGACCCCCTTTCCAGTGAGGTGTGCCCTCCGAATTCTCCGGTTCCAGGGCGTTGTAGTTGGATCTTGGCTCTGTCCAGCCATGTGTTGAAGAACAGGATGTGGTAGTTCAGGAAAATGCTTCTGCCACCACTGCCGGTCCTCCTCAGAAAGTGCCACCTCCCCCCGATCCTCGAGCTCGATCTGGGAGAGCATGTCCAAAGCAGGTTGACGATGCATGATCGGGCAGCCAGATCGAAGCCAGCAGTCGATCGCACCGAGTGTTGGGTGACGGATACTGCAACCCGTCTTTCGCCACTCCACCTTGTAGCCCCGTTCAACCAGAAGCCCCAATGGGATGATCGGCTCCACCTCCTCCAAGGACAAAAGGGTGCGGTGCTTTGGATGGCGATACAAAACTGTAGTACCTGTAGCAAGTTCAACCTCGATGGGAGTCATCTCGCTCCTTTCATCAGGGTGTGCAGTTCGGAGGGCATGTGTTGCCCCTCCGTCAAGGAGTGCAAAACCTTGAAGGCTTGTGTTCACGGGCTCCACGAAGACCTGTTTCAGGCGAACCGCTTTCAGGGTCCTGAGCGTCTTGAGGAGAGTTGTTGCTTCATCAAGGAGGACAGAAGCGGAGTCAACCTTTGACTTTTGGTCACCCCCCAACTCCTTCTCCGGCGACCCACCACCGTTCTTCCCGATCCACCTCCAGACACCGTTGGCGATGACAAGAGCGATGAACTCGGAGACGATGTAGTTCCCGAAGCCTCAGAATTTCTGTATTGTGTTTCCTTGGTAGGACTGTCCTTCGACACCTCCTCACCAACGCCTTTCACCTTGGCATTCTTTTGGCGCCCCTCTGTTGACGGTGAGGACAATCTTTCATCATGTGACCTTCTCCTGAACAGAAGAAACATCTTTGCTGACGATCCAGTCCATCCCAGGAGTGCGCATAGCCACACGTGTCCCCCCTCCGACACCCGGACTGAGAGCCCCAAAATCTGCACGGCGACCTCGGCTTCTCATCTTGGCCTTGGCTTGAGTGCATTGCTTTCACAACAGGTGCAGCGGTCTGGCTAGACGGAGTCGATGATGTTGTAGCCGAAGTCTTTGGGGCCACCACCATAAGCGACAGGTCCTCCATCTCCGCCTGCAAGTATTCACTGAGATCTTTGATGGACTGAAGTTCGGGCCTCAGATCCACCAGCAATTCCTGCCTCACCGAAGACACCCGGTAGGCCACTTGACTTCCTCCCAATTTCGACAGGGAGTCCATGATGCGCCCCAACACCTGCATGAGAATCAACGGGTCAGGCAGGGTCAAACGAAGCTCTTCTGCTCGCTGGAGCCATCGTCGCCAGGTCCTTGTAGTCACCAAGAGGTCCTGGATGTTGTTGGATGTTTTCACTTCCGTCAAACACTTCAAAAGTGTAGTTCGTTCGGCACCTCCTCCAGGCTGGAAAAGGACATGAAGTCGAAAAAGGATGCTGACCGTTGTGACCTTCCTGTTGGCGATCACATCTCTTCGAAGCTGGTCGGGCAAGATGCTCAGGAGGAGCGATACACCACGCTGTTCAACACGTTGGTGGACAGGGTCGATGTTCTCCACAGGGCGCAAGCGAAGGCGCTCCAAAGGGGTGGCAGTGAGCCACTTCTCATAGAGTTCACCAGCTGCAGCCAAGCATCCATCCCACCACAACTGAGAAGTCGCCGAGAGGTCTGCCATCAACGGATAGGTCATAGTCAACCAATCTCCATATTGAAGTGCAGCTCCTTCAGTTGAGGGATGAGGCAAGCTCGGAAGGTCCAAGCTCCTCACGGTTTCCGGAATCACCGGAGGCTGAGTAGAGTCACCTTGAGGTCGTCCAGCATGAAGTCCTGGAGGAAGGTCAGGTTTGGTGCATGGCGGAACTCCCGCGCCCACAGGATCACCAGGAGGTAGTCCAGGAGGTTCAGGTAGAGCACGGCCTCCATCACCAATACCAGCGCTCGCGGCCGAGGCATAGGACGAAGCATCACCAGGTGCTCCACCATCAGTCAACCTCTTGACTTCACGAGCGAACTTATCCTCCGCCTCCCGCAAGATCTGAGCTCGGATCTTCTCCACATCGCCAGCTCCGGGACTGGAAGGTGCAGGTTTCTTTCCACTGCTTTCAGCCATACGTACATGCCCTTCACCTTTTGCAGCCTGTTGAAGTGAAGTGCTCCAAAAAGGATTCACAGTGCTGAGAGGCCCCACCGGAGTTGCCGCCGCATAGGGATCCAGCGTTCTTGGATGGAGAGCTTCGCGGCCCACCGATCCCACCATTGGAGAAACCATAGATCCATCCCGATCGGATCTCCCATCCCTGACCGGGGTTCCAGCCGCCAACGCATGCCCTGGAGGACCTCCATGATCGTGCACATGAGGGACTCCCTGATCAGCTTGGCGAAGGAGTGGATCAAGTAGAGTTGGACCCGGTTGTTGAGGTCCTCGTAGTGCGTTCTGCAGAACTTCAAACGAGTGGCGCACCGCTTCTTGGAGATGCCCCAAACCCATCGACTGTCCCCTAGGATCCATCACCAATTGGTGTACTTGTTCTTGTGCAGGTTGAGGATGGTAGGTCACAGGTGGTCCTTGCGGTGCCCTCAACAACTCCGCAGCGGAAGCTCCCAAACGTTTCATTTCTGCCGTGGACGACGATGCCGGCACCGACTTGGCCCTCGAGCGAAGCTCCTCTTCGATCAAGGCGTCGAGCTTTCGGTCAGCGACTCCCACCTCCAGCCGAGGTGTAGCAGCGGCAGCCTCCTTCACAACAGCCTCCTTTGCGGCAGCTTCTTCTTTTCGCTCCCTAGAGCGCTGTTGCTTGCGTCTTCGATGCTGCTCCATGGGGACCAACAACCTGAAAAATCAGGGTGGACTTCTACCGGCCACAACCCGTCAGCAGGTTGGGCTCATAACCTAGGGAAGGTTGGGTGTGTCGTGTGGTGCTGCACGGATCCTTTTCTCCGCGCAACCTTGAGCCAAACGATGTTTATCGAATGGCGAGTTTCACCTGAGTGGTTTCAAGTACACTTCTCGTTTTGTGCACCTGACTGCAAACAAAGTTTGGAGGTTGGTGGTCCATTTCCACTGCCACAGAAACAAATGAAGATCCGGCGAACCATACTTCACGAAGTTTAGGGGATTCACATCTCACAGCGTTTTCGAACAGAGTACTACCACGAAAGCACGAAAGCGCAAAAATACACGAAATGAAAATCTGCAAAAATTGAAAAAAGAAACTCGACAACACCATGCTGTCTAGTTTCATTCTCTCGTGTTTTGATACTTTTCTTGTCGTTCTACTTTTCTCTTAACTTGTTGCGTGCGCGAGAGGCCAAAGACATCCAAAAAATTAGGAACATCTGCGAAAACGGGGTGTTCTAGTTTTCTGTTTTGCACGACACAGTTTTGGTATCCTTAGCATTGTCACGAGGTGCATCGACGATGTAGCCAGCTGAAACGAAAAACATATCACGCTCACGCTCCGACATTTTTTGGAAGACCATCCAATAGCGATGGCCTCCACCTAATAGCAATGGCCTCCAACCTAATAGCGACGGCCTCGCACCTAAAAGCGAGGGCCTCCAACCTAACAGCGATGGTGGCCTAGCCAAGCATCCAAGTAGACAAACCGCCACAAAAGCTCCATCTGCAGAGGCAAAGCAATTCCTGTCGTACATGCATTTCGCACAGAAGTTGACACTCACGTGGCCGTCACCATCTAGCCACCGACTGCTAGTTCACAATATATTGCTCTGGTATGCCGACAATCTGTTGTTACATGGCCATACAGCCATACAGATTCAAAATTCCAGCAGCTGGCACTGCGGTCTGAATTTCTGCCTGCCATTCCCCTATTCTCTTCAGTGTCCCAAGATGTTCGTTTACCCGCCTGGGTGAGGCTTCAGCCTCTCTCCAGTAATGGATCCTAAGGTCATAAAGTAAAGGCACGAGCCGAACGAGATGTCCAAAGCAATTGCATAAGCTTCCAGGCGTGTCCAGTCAGAGAAAAAAAGTTGCAACCTCTTGGGGACCGACACTTGCACCATCTTTTGCCGTTCTGCTTCGAGGTCCTGAGGAAGGTGCAACAGTCGCATCGCAGCACACCGTCGCCTTTCCTCCCACATAACGATAAAAGAGCCGAATATAAAGTTGCTCTCCCAAGTAGAATTTGTCGCACATTAGTTTCTATTATATACTAATAAGGATCCTAAAACAGGAGAAGAAAGCAGCAAGATGGCTCCTCCGAAGGCTGCTCACCTCCGCCAAGGATGAGATCCTGAACACAAGAATCAGCACCGCTTCCCCGCTCCGCACCACTACTCCGCTCCGCCTCAGCAGCTTTCAATCGCTCGAGATCAGCGCCGGCGTCCTCGTTGACTCTCGGTGTTTGCAAAGAAGATAGGTGTTTGGAAGACAGGCCGACCTGCCGCTCCAATACTCCCAAGAGATATGGTGCTAAAGGGTTCGACCTGGCGCCACGAGGACGATCCACATTCAAAAAAAACATTGTTCCACCAACTGGAAACCGCGGACCGAGAAACCGCCAACCAAACATCTCGCAGCATTCCCAATGTCATTCAACCACTCAGCTTTTGACTTGGAGCTGATCCGGCGAGACTCACGAAGCACCTCCACTGAGCAGTAAGTGGTTTAAAAAGCTAAAGCCGGCCGGCCAGTGCACCCTCCAACTAAATGATGGGAAAAAAGTCGCTGACTACTACGAACATGTGCAAACATCATATCGCAAATCCGGCAGCTTTGCAGTTGTCACACTCAGTCAAGTCACGGGATACTTATTCAATATCATAAACATGTTGATATGTCTTGAAATGCAAGACCCCACAAATACAATATACTGGTCTTTAGTCCATGTTCCCTACTTCAAGCTTTGGAGGGTTTTCTCCCAGAGACACACCCATAGTGTGGAGCACGATGTACTGAGCTACTGTAACCTAACCACCGAAAGCCAGAAGATTCATCCCTGCCTCCTTTGCCTCATGGCGACGGTTCCAATGGATCAGGAAGTACCCAAAGCGCCCGAGAGCATGGGCGGCCAAAACCTTCCTCCGGGTTTGGAGCGCTAAGCGGCTAGCCTGGCGCATGTAATGAATGGATTTCCGGTTCTTCTTCCAGATCTTACATATCTCTCATCTAACAAACGACAAGGGGCTTCTTCAACAAACAGAAAGAGAGCATAAGCAGCATCAGGAGCTTGGAGGTTCGTCTGCCTCCCGATACCGCCACTCCGCCGCAGTGGCATGATTACGTTCGGCCAACCATTTTGCATGGTAGTAGAGGCGCAAAGCCTTGGAGGCAAAAGAAGCCACACTCCGCTCAGATGTGGAGACTTAGACCTGCTAAATGAACACTGAGGATCATGCGCGCTCTGCTAGCTTTTTCCGTTTCTCTTCTTGAGGGGCTGCTTGAATGGACACATCCAAAAGCTCCTGGCAAGAACTCTTCGTTTGTTGGGTTGTTCAGTAGGCTTGGCTGCTTGCCCAAAATGGGAGCACGAAGCTTCTTGTTACTTCAGTCCTCCGACCGCAACATTTCTTGCGGCACACCGGCTCTGGATCCCTTGCGGTCAAGAGCCTCAAGTCGTTCAAAGGCACAATGCTCCAATGCCCAAACGAAGCAGCCTATCGTACTGTAAACAAGGAAGGATAACCATCAACTAGCGAAAGCACTCGTTCATCTGAAGCCGATCAGAGAAGAGTCAAGAAGAAACACCTATTCATCCTTTTGGGTGTCAGCTTAGTCAACCTCATCTCAAAAGTCTTGACTATCTGAGCGACCCTGGCCCAGGGTCCAGCACCCGACTCACTGGCAAAGCAAGCCCGTTTGCTATAGTACAGACCTCCAAACGGCGAACGACGTGTCGCGTCGAGTTCGACGTTACTCCAAGACCGTCTGAGGAGCTGACCCCAGGCAAACTGTGCCTTCCAGGAGACATTTGGCGATGACTCAGGTGGAGCACATGGAGAAACTCCCGTTGGAATCCTTGGAATCCTTGGAATCCTCAAAATTGAAGAAAGAAGAATTGTCTAGATTCTGTTACAGTAGGATTCCAGATTCTTGGCATACTCAAACCACCAGCTTTCCTGCCTCCCACCCCATGGATTCTGGCACATCCGGCGGCTCTGGTTTAGTGCTGCTGTCGTGCGAGGCAGATGGCCTTCAACATGCTGTCGGCGGTGTTCACTAAGAAGTGTCAAATTGTTCATAGCATAGTTTCACAAACAAAACGAAACTGAGGTCATGGCTCTATGGCTGCAGGACCTGACCAAATGATAACTGAAATGAACATCGAAACAAAAGGGCACATGAGATTGATGCAACACAAGGATTGGATGTGCAAGCAAGACTAAGGCAATCAGGTCCGAGGTGATGGAATTTTCTCATGACTCCATCAGCTGCTTGAGCTTCGCTGATTTCAACGGCTAAAGAGACCGGCCTGGTGCAGTCTGGGGGACATCAGATCCCGCCTCAACACGCTGCCTCAGTTGACCATGTCACATGTCCATTCTTTCAAGAGTTGGCCCACTCTTCTGGCATAACTGCCAACCTTTACCAAAGTCGCCAACCTTTACCTGCATAATCTTGTGTCATGATTCATGATCATCTTCAAGACTACCAGTAGGCTAGCAAGCTTAGTGGCAAATCTTCTCCGACAACAGACCAAGTGCCGAGCTGTGCCACTGGGACTTTAGCACCAGGAACAGCTTGTGTCCAGGCCTTGAAACAACAGAACTTCACCATGTGTTCACAAATACAGAAACGTTCACCTCACAAGGCATTAGAAAATGTGTCAAGATTGTCCAGCAGAACATGCTCTGTCACTCTCTTAGCATCCTCACATCTGCTCCACCATCTACCTGAGGCCCCTGAGTCACGAAAATGGATGTAGCAGAGTGGAGCATCGACACTCCACAGGACACAGCCATGGTCTGTGGGCTCAAGCCGATGAGCTTCCACCAAGCAAGGCTCCTCTCACTAAAGAACCCAAGCAACCCTAAACAATGGCGAGTACTTCCACTTGAAAAGTGACGGGTCCTAGAAAATTGGAACATGTCCATGCACAATGTCAGCGTTTACATAATGCTCCACTGCTGTTCGTCATGCTGACTGGTTCTTGAATAGAATATGCGTCAAAGGTCCTCCAGCAGCCCTTACTGCTGCATTGCCCATGCCAACCTTTGCCCGAAAGCCATGGTGGGGTAGCAAAAAGGTTCGGGAGCTACAGAGATTGATTTGGCACAGAAAAACTAAACCCAAAATAACATTGTCAAAAAAAGACACTTTTTCAGCTCTTTCTCTCTCAGCATCAATCACCGCATGTCTGCTTCGCCGACCACTTGTCGATCAGCCCTTCTCTTTCTCATTCTGCTCTTAGTATGGAGCACCTGGTCCTCTTTGAAGGGCGAGCGGCGAGCGATTTAGAAAATGTCTCAATCAGGCCAAGACTGCGAGGACTTCCTTTTGTGGTCATGATCTTGAATCGACAAGAAGCCATCGCGGTCTGTTCCTGTTTGCAAAAAGGCACTTGGCGAACATCTTCAGGCGCTTGATCACAGAGTCCACGTCATGTCCAACAATCACGAAACACCTCCGGTGCAACGTCTACCCAGGAGAGCTATTGGCCTGTGGATACCCTGCAGCAGCACTATCCAGTTTATCAGGTTCTGCTTGTAAAGCAATCACAGACTTGATCTCCTTCGAAACCTCTATGAGTTGTTGCTCGAGGTGTTCTTTTGAATGCTGGGATTTCTCTTCATCCTCAAGCGCACTGACCTCAAAGCCACATCGGGTCTGGTCATCAAGGTCTTTCCACCTCCTGGCACAGGCCTCACGGAAGTGTGCAGGAGCATTGTCCCTGTAACCTTGGAAGAGTGCTTTTGACACGCTCTCCGTCCGAGACTCGAGCGCCTCTCGGACCAAATAGTCCTGCTGTGCTTCAGAGAAGCTCTGCCGCCAGAAAACGATGGCGGGTCTCGGCGCGGGCACATGCGCCAGGCGTAAGCGGAGCTCTACAAGGTTTTTCTCCAAGATCTTTTTCCGCTCCGACAGAGCCAAAGACCGGAGCTCAAACGGAGCTTCAGAAAACCTGGAAAGTATCTTTTCGTCTTTGGCCACAAATGTGGCCAAAGCTTTCCAAAGCTCTGAGCAAGACAGCTGTTGCGCCAATGTGATGGCTTCTGGAAGCAGCTCTGCTGTCAAGAGCTTGGAGACACGTTGAGAGCATTTCTGCAGGAGGCCCCTGATCTCGAAGCAGTCAGCCGCCTTTAACAATTCCATGCTGGCCAACAAGTCCAGGTCTCGCAAGGTATCTGCATAGCACCACTCAAGCAAGTGGTCTAAAACCTCGGGCGACTCATGAAGATGCACATGGCGTTTCCCGGAGCGCAGCTGACCCTCTTGCATCTCTGAGGAGAGCCTTGGAACAGGATGACACTTGGTCAATCTTCATGGCAAAAGATACCAAATAAATAGTATTAATGTGTACATATTACATAAAATAAAACATGTTTATATGTCAAATAATATATGTATATGTATATTCTCATATTTATACTTTTTATTATACTATATATAGTTCAGTGTACATACTTAATCCACTCGCATCTGGGTCACATCTGCTTGAAAACGTTGGAACGTGCTGCAAGAATGACACAGTTGGCCTCCCTCTGGTGACCTGTGAGGCTTGGCCACAGCTGTCCAAGTCGGCAAGCCCAATGATCCATGCCAAGTCGAACAAGGAACCAAAATTGAACATCAGAGAAGAACATGCTATCCACACTCCTACACAGCCTACATGCCTTCCTCCAGAGATACATCCATCAAACATATCAAGCACGATATTGATATGAAAGCCTTTAGCCCTGCGGCCTCCTTGTGCCGTCAACAAGAGATCTGTGAAGGCATTCTCAGAGCCCATTCGTGAGAGATCTGCCAAAAGAGAGCCCGCCATGGCAAGGTCACCTCCCAGCTGTCTGATTCCTCCCAACCCAAAAATCCTAAGAAATGCTGGTGAAGCTGGACCCTACAATCTGATCAATATCATAGTTCCTGAGCCCAAGGCAGTTAGGCCATTAAACAACGCTGTAACAGGTGGTGCACGCTTCAATTAAACACTACAAAAATCAGAAGCGCAAACCCAGCACGAGTGAGGCTCTGACCCAGCACAGAATCAGCTTCATTTGGCGAAGCATCCTGCTTTCTGGCATTCGGACAATTCTTCCGAGTGAAGTCACTAAACCCAGGTCTCTTCTTTGCCATATCCACTTTTTGGAGCACAAGAGCCGTTCGCATTGGTACACTCTAGAGATCCGGTGACCGGGTCAAACAGAGTGTGCAACTCAGCTCCCAGCTGAGGTCAATGGACCTGGACAGGCGGGTGGCTGACAGGGCCGACGGCCGTCAGTTGCATAGTTGCGCAGTTGGACTCAAACAAGACTTTAAGAAAAAGGACTTTAAGAAACCTAATGGCAACGGCCTCCATCCTAATAGCGATGGGCTCCAACCTACTAGCGAAGGCCTCCAACCTAAGAGCAATGGACGCTCTGGAGACACTCTGGTACTTTTGCTGTGCCGGCGGAGGGGTCTTGGAAGCTATTCTTCCTCACCCCGATTCAAATGTCAAAGCACTCGCAAAGAATCTGTCAGGCATTCAAAAAGGATCGCAGCCACATACATGTGAACTGTGCCCCCAAACAGGATGACCCTGGCTCCGTACGCGCGTGACAGCTATCACTCTGCCACCACTTCTTCTAGCCACTTTAGGCCATCCTCTGTCTCTCCGCGGGGGTGGTATTCACAGCCAATATGTCCCTGATAGCCCTGGCGGAGCAGGGCAAACAACAATGATACATTAGGCAGTGACTCTGAAGGGTATTTACAGTAAAAGCCTTCATTCTGGTGATTGTGAGTCCATCAGGAAAGGATCCCTTGAACCTGCAGGAAAGCCTATTCAAGTAGTACATACAGTATACAACCATAAACTTACGAGCTTCCACAGAAAACGCTGCAGAAAAACTCCTTGGTATATGGGTATATCATATCTGATCAGTCGACGCGAAGAAAACTTCGAGAGTAACCGACTGTGTCAGAGCCGAGCTGACCAGTTCATTTCGTAGAAGATCAAAGAGATACCTGAAGTTGACTTCTTGCCTGGCGATCAAAGTCTACAAGAGCCTTTTTTGTGGCCTATCGCACAGAATCGATTGTGGAAAGAATGCGTTCTTGGGAAAATGGAAGCTTCTGCTCTGACCAACTCTGGGTTCTACGTGACAGACTTCGACTCTATCAAAGAGGCAGAACAGGCAGAATAGCCAGAGTGTTTAACTCAAGCTATAAAACCTTTCTTGTTTGAAGAGAATCATGATTGACAAACTCATTGAAACAAAGTCAAACTAGCCTCACCTTGCATCAGGCTCTCCTCGGTCAGGCACACCAGCCACCTGCACATGTCCAATGTGATCCTGGGCGCGTGGATGTCTGTGCAGACCGTGAGGTTGCCATGGACACTGAGATGTGGTCCATCCCCCAAGGGACAAACAAGATCTGGAGAGCTGGGTCGCAGAGCTGCGGAGAGGGTGGAGAGAGAACTCTCAAAACAAGTCGTCTTCATGTGCACCTTCGAATCATGGAGCAATGGATCTCTTTGTGCTTATTTTTTTGGGGGGGTCCTGCCATTGTGCTATCAATTTTCTGCAAAAGGATGGTGCTAGTCAGTCGTTTCGAGCCACTTAGAGCCCAGTGGCGGAGTACTTCCTCATATTCGTACTCAGATCTCCTGAGCTGAGGCCAAATGCTTCCCTGACAAGTTTCAATGGTTGTTGCTACAGTTGTTCTCTGTTTCGTGGACTTCCCCTCACACATCTATTCTTGAAGTCAAGAGGCCATGTAGAATCTGGCAGTGAAAGACATCAAAGAGCAGCTTTAAAGGCTTGTCTGACTGTCCAGCAATATCCGCAATGATGTCTGCAGCTTCCGCAAATGATGCCAGATGGTAACCTGGCCTCAGTACCCAGATGTACGCGGGACAATCACCTCAAAAAGAAAGCTATTGCATCCAGCAAAGTCACATGCTTCTTTGGTTGATGGGTTCGATCAAAACCTGACTGGGCACACAAAACGGCTGGAAGACCATCATACCGAATCAGACCATCGCTTCCAGCCGGACTTTTCTTGTGAATGGAGAAGCTATAAGAAAGAAGAGAAAACTCATCCAACGGCTATCTTTGAACAAGAGAGCTCAGCCTCCACATCCGGGCCCAAGAATTCCACCGCTTTTCGAAGATTGGATCGGTAGAGCTCTGCAGAGCCATTCAGGCCCGCTAGACAATGAACTCGAGGGCACTTCAGCCTCCCAAAAGTCGGCAAAGCCCAAAAGTCGAACCAGTTCTCAACCTCCTTTGAGGCAGTGCCACCAGAGTTGAACCAGCTGATTTCATGCGTTTCACCATTGTTGAACACAAGATCTAAACAAAAAAAAGATCGAACGTTCGGCGATCCCACACAGGTACGGCTGCAGTACATGTCGTCCCTTTGTGCCTCTGTGCATATTCGGCCCCTTGCTGGAGCGAGGCCAAGAACTCCTTGGGACGGTCCAGGGAAGCCAAGCCACGGTCTCCTTGGCGCCAGTCACCAGCCTTGGAAAGGAGCTCTTCCCATCCGAAGGAGTCCGACTTGGAAAGTGAAAAAACAACCTGCTGTCGAAGTGTCTTGTGACAGTTGGCAGTACTAGGTGCAACTTGGATCCAACCGAGCTCAAGCCCTTTGGCATCTCAAAAGGGTGTAAGGTGCCAAGGCCATGACTGGTAGGTTGAAAAGAACGCATTCCAAACCCTCAGCATCCAAACAGCTCCTGACCTCGCAGCGTATCAAGTGCTTCTGAAGAATGCTGAGCTGCCTTTGTTTAACTTAGTTTCCAATTATTCCACTCAACAAACCTTTTTTCTCATAGAGGTGTCACCACAGCTATGAGGAGGTCATTGCGTTCATACAAAAAAAACATGCTGAAAATTATTAGAACATCCCATCCTCGTCTGGTGGATGCGCAAAAAGCTCGTTGCTGGAGATCTCAACGGCATTGAAGCCCGCTCGTCGCGCACGAGCAAAGCGCTGCAAGAATGGCACCTCCTCGATCGAACATGTGGGGACTCTCTTCGTTCGTTACCAGCCTCTTGACATATCCTTTACACGAATTCTTACACTACCCTGCACAACTCACACTGTTCGAATGTGTTCGATCGTTTCCCAAGCCAGAGGTTTGCCTATTTGTTGGTTTTTTTGTGGCTTTGAGAAGGAAATTGGGAATGCCTTTTGGTAGGGTCACCACAGCTGGAGATGTCCACACAGAACTGGAGTCCTGGAAGAGCATGGCAAGGTTGGCAGAAAAGCCAGGAAAGCGGACCGCCATTGCTGGTCCCTCGAAGCAGTGTGCTACTGTTCAAGCCCTTGGTGTGAGGTAGTGCCTTCGTGGATTTGCATCAGCTGTGTCTCCTGTCAGTCTAAGATGTATAGTACCGTCAAACGGATACCAAATTCAATGCAACGCCGGAGGTTGATTTCCGGAATGCTCAAACACAGCTGTATCGGCCTTGACTTTGCGCAAGCGAAATTACATTGTCTACACTGCTGCACATCTTTCTCAAGTAAATGTTCAAATCAGGTCTTTTGCTCCCTTCACTCGCTCCGACACATTCTCTCATAGGTCCACTAGTACATGTTGTTATCCACCCCGAATCCTTGTGCAACCAGCCCAAAAATCTGGAAGACGGGCCTTGTAAGGTGAAAACTTGGCTTGCAGCGCCTCAAGACAAATAAACTCCGCACAGATCAACGCTCTCCCTGGGGATCTTGCCACGTACTTTGAGCAAGAAAGTGGAAGGTGACTGGTGACAAGATACATCTTTTTCTCCAAAACTATTGTCATCTCTGCATACTTCAACTTACACCATTGCAGTATGAATAACATGACGCATCTCGCAAGCCTAAACACCGAACACCTCTGGCCTCTGGCCGCTGGTACTCGGACAAAGAGGGCTGCTCAAGCTGGTAACTGAGGATACCTGGCTATCTGTGACATATTACTTCATTAACTTTAATCCATGACAATTCCGGCTGCTTTGGTTCACCTGTATAAACCCAGGGGGCACGTGAATTGTCGCTCTCGGACAGGACCTCCAAACCAGCAAGAAAACATCAATCCGCCATGACATAAGTTTAAAATACACCATGTTGTTTGGGACATAACACCATGACGAACACCTGAACTGCAAGCGTTGGTCAACTAAGCATCCAACAGTGGAGGCGAAAAAGGCCTCCGCGCCCGCACGCGGGCAGTGTGGCCGAAGGGAATGCGCCACACACGCTTGAGCTAAATCGTGCAGCCAGACATGAACGATCTTGCAAGTTGTACAAATGAAAGAGGTGGTGAGCGGCAGCGAGAGTTGTGTTGTTTCAGAAATTTGACCTTTCTCTCCAATAAAATCGGGTTACATTTTAGGTAATGACACAAAAAATCTACTCATGCGTATGCAGACTTAAACCAGCCAGCGAATTGCATAGCCTTTTCTCCATGCCAAGCAAGTCGGAACACTAAAGTGACAAAGGCGATTAGGGGTCTGTCCCAGAATGAAAATGTTAGGAACTTTCGAGACTTGAACCGCCCGTTGCAGTGGCCCGAACTTCGCAGGAAAACGGGCGCGACTTTCGCTTTCATGTTTTCTTTCATGGTAGCGGAGCCAGCCAAAGTGCTGGCTCCCGCGGGGCGGCCGGGTGCGCGATGGTGGACCTTCATGGTGGTCACCTTCCTCTTTTCGACGACGATGAGCACCGGCTGCCAGATCGACGACTTCCTCTACGACCAGGAGCACGTGAACTTCACGGACTACATGGACGAGAACGCGGAGGCCTACGAGAAGAAGGATTATGAGAGGGATGGGTACCCTCAGCTGTCACGAT